AAGTAGTAATTTGCGTGTTTAGCGTTCACCTCAGCACCATACATTTTTTATTTTTTTTACTGTATTCGGGAACTACCACCGAATGTCGTCTATACAGAACGATTGACGAAACCATAGTCTAAACAAGAGAAAATGATGTGTAGTGTTTATTACTGGTATTTTTTTACCAATATATTATTACCGGCATATTTATAATTTTTTTAACTGATATTATCGACCCTTCGTCTTTGTCCCCGTTTTAGCATATTTTTAGAATATTCGAGACCTTTTGAGGAGAACATTCGGTTCCCCGAAAAAAAAAAAATTTTACCTAATGTATGCCTACATAGATACTTTGATAGGAAGTAAAAAGAGACATCCTTTTAGCTTTTATCTTCAACAGCCCCCCGAAAAAAGAATTTTGTATAACATTAATAATTGTCACCGAGGATTATTTCCACGGTAGACACAGGTCCTACGCTGATCCCAATCTCCAAATATTTGTACGACGTTGCAGTCAGAGCATATCTGCGTCTCAGGATACGAGCAGTATGGTACCACACTTATACATGTTGTCGAGCGCCGCTAATCTGGCTGCTGATAACGAATTCTCTACAGTTGTAGCAGGTAAAAAGGATATACATATTTTTTTAGATAGGGCGTGACACAAGGATTTTTAGTTTGAGTTTCTTTGGAAAACTTTGGGAGGGGGGGACATAGGAAAAATAGAACATATAAAATCAGGAAGATTTTTGTCTTTCGAAAACACAAGTTGTACAGACCTCGACAGCATAACACGTGAATACTATGTCGCGATTAAGTGTTCTAGTGCGCGAATATATCGTCGCGGGTTCTTACGCGGACCCGAATATCGATCGCGAGAAATATTTATCTCGCGTATTGGAAAACGACGACGAGGAAAACTGTAATTTATTTTATAACTTCGCTTGCGAATGCAGCAGCATGCTACTCGTGTTGCTGTTTAACAGCGGAAGACTTTGTAACGATCGGATCCAAGAAATTGTGAGGGAAATCCTCATAATCAGACGTGATTTTGGGGAGGAAATGGAGGATGTCTGGGGTATGATCGGGGTTGTACTCAACCATACTAGATAAGCGAAAATATCGTAATAATTATAAAAACTACAATACACTAGAAAAATATATGAAATTAATGATTATTATTTTCCATAGCCCAGGAAATTCGAACAAACATATGATTTTCTCGCCTATAAGAACAGCGGTAGAAGACGTCGATAACGACGTGGGTAAGTTTACATATATCAGTAAAATATTAATTACGACTTATTTTAAAATCACTTTTTTTATACGCTAATAATATATATAATTTCAGAAAATCATCCAAAACGAGCAAGTTAACAAAGAAGAAATAAAAAGAGAAACATTAATACATTAAAAAAATGTTTATTTATAAAGGTTTACAACTCTCTCCGGGGCGCTGAAACCACCAATTGAATATTTTTAATACATTCTGTAAAGCACAATGCTTATCCTTACTATCGAATACGCGTGGCGTTAATTTAGACTTCAATAAAGGTTCAAATTACAAAAATTGTTTATTGATTATTTTAATACAATAAAATACATTTTATCCTAATATATATTATCACAATATATATTATCCTTGTTTATCCATGAGTTGTATGAATTGCTAAATCCCAA